TAGCTGCACATTATTCCAGATGATTTTGAGGAAAAGTCTTCAAGAGACCTGTGGAGTACCCCAAGCGCAAACATGCTCTTTATGAAATTTCGAGAAACACAATTGTAAGATATGATCATGGATTATTTCTAATTCTAAGCAGATATGTACTGGTCAAATGGAAGAGGATCGTAATAATAATAGTTTATTCGTATATGTCTGTTCAGGCTACCGGTAGGAAAGATTAGGTTTGAGCCAAAAGATCTGGTGACTATCTCAATCTCTCGCATCTAGAAGCACCTTGGTATATCATTCAATAAACAATGAAGGTTATGACTATATTTTGTACAGATTCAGAATAATTCAGTGTATTCTTTCTAGTAAAAGAGTTCGCTAAGTCACTAAAACTCTGCGACTGATGAGAACTGAAGCTGCTTGCTTCGAATGAGTGAATGACACGAACTGCTGCGTAGACAGAATGCTTTTTTTCTAGTGTAAATATGCCATTTTAATTGAATAATGTATCTATGATTTTAAAGTAACCGCTCTTTAATACTAATTACATTAGAAACATGACTCCTTTGTTTTTATGAAAACTCAACATGATCTGCTGTGTTTAATATCAATTTTTCAATCAATACTGATGATCTTCTAAAAGGCGCTTTCGATCATAATGCGCATGTTGATAAGTCCGATGTCTATTGGAACTGTCGCATCATGTGATGAAACTGTCTAGGACTTTGATCAAAATCAGCATTCAAATGAAATTTAATGAGACGTTGATGGATGTCATTATTAGGGCTGATCGGTCTACATAGATCCACTCTATGAAAAACATGTTGCTGACGCATTTGATTGTCGAAACATGGAGAGAGAGGAGTTGGTGTACGTGATCGTGAACATTTTCCGGCATTGAGAAACTGTTGATGATGATCTTCTTGAATTCGAGAGAAATTCGATGGTGGACTAGGACGTCGCGCTCGCCGCTTATCAATTTTTATTGGCTCGGGTTTGATGATCTGATCATGATCATTAATGCATGCATCATCAAAGTATTTCATCGCGTTGACGTTTTGTGGAGCTGGCTGTTGATGTTTGAGCCGTAGAAAACCAATACGATGACGAATGCTATTGAATTGTTTCCTCATATCATCGAAATACTGACGAATCAAATCTGAGTTGAAACGAGGTTTCGGTGGCGGTGAATAAACTGGCTTTGGCTCCTCTTTCTGTAGTTTGTGATAGTCATCGTAGAATTTTACAAAAATGGCATCCTTCACTGCAAGTGTTTGACTGGTATAGTTAGGGTGTTTCTCCTTGATATATTTATCTGCTGCTTGCCGATACTTATTTAGCACATCTTCGAGTTCAACAGCTATTGGCCGCTGAATTGGTTCATCATGGATACATCGAGTAATCAGATCAAGAAAGAGAGAACTTTGTTCAATGAGTTGAATGTGTTTAGTAGCTTGAACGAATCGATGAAGTTTTTCCGTAAACAATTCATTAAGTGTCAATCCAAAAGTAAACACATCGAGTGATTGATCATACTGACCGTCTCCTCTGCACAAAAGAAAAATAGTAATCACTGCCTATTACTCGAATTGCAAAGGTTTACCGATGAAATTCTGGTGGCATGAATGGCAAACAACCCATTAGTGTGTGCTTTATCTCCGGATTAAAGACATGGGCTATACCCATATCACCGATTTTTGCTGTGTAATTATTTGAGACAAGAATATTATCAGGACGGATGTCACGATGAATCATTGTGTGCGCATGTAACTTGCGCATACCACTAACAACATGACATGCCATGGTCAGTTTACGTCGAAGTGAAGTTTTCTCGTTTCCACAGTGGATGACATTTGAAAGACTTCCACGATGCATGAATTCAGTTATCAAATAACATTCTTTGATACCATTGGCCATTAGACGTTCCCCATATCCAAACGTTTTGAGAATATAAGCGCCTGATAGTTCAGCATAAGCATTCAATTCTTTTCGAAAACTATCCTCCAAATGACGTCTATGTGCTGTCACTTCGATTACTTTGCATGCTACTTCGCGATTTTTCGACAACCAAATAGCCTTGTATACTTGACCTATAAATATGAATATGTTTCAATGAACAAATAAGATGAGAGAACGAACCGAACGCTCCGTGACCAAGCACTTCACCCTTGAGAATATCATTTATATTGATTTTGAGCAGACTTTTATTGCTGGCTACTACTAGTGGATGAGTATTCTGATGTTTTTTGCTGGTCACTCGCTGTTGCATACACTTTGAACATAGATTATAATTATGACAAGTATCGCATTTGAATCGAATACCAAGAATCTCAATCAAGCAACCATCACATTTTGTATTATGTTGTTTGCCCGTAAGAAGTTCATTCAATTTTGCTAACGTGATATCGTTCGAACTAGGTACATATTGACCGAATAGTTCATTGGGCATTTTAAAATGAACCATTGCATGGCCACTCGAGTGTGATCGTGTCTCACGTCGTTCCTCGAAGCAGTGACCACATAGATCGTAGTCGATACATTGTAGACATTTGTATCGATCACTGTAGATATGAGCTGATCGACAGCCGTCACAAGAGGCATTGTGTGTATTGCCAGACAAGATACTGCTGTTGTCCTCGTTGTTATTGCATGGTTTTGCCATATTGAATTGATGTATATATTATAAAATTAGTTGTAATCTAGAAAAAATTGACGAACTTTTGAATTGATCCAGTTCATGTTCTGTAGCTCTAGAGTAGAGCAGTTTTTTTCTGGCCGATTTCAATCAAATATAATTTTTATAAGAGATGTATAAAGCTTTTCTAAGATATCTCAAACTTTTTAAATCACGTATCTTTAATTTACTGCTTAAGCTCGCGACACGGAATAGCATGCAAAAGTTTGCTGTGCTATTAAGAAGAAACTAACAACAAAAAAAACAAGCAGAGTTATAAGTTTTTTTTTATGGTAGAAATATCAGCATGGCTTGTTTGGCAAACAAAAAAAACAAGACTCAGCGAGTGACCCAACCGAATAATATAAAATGAATAATGTGAGGCGCATGAATCAGATGTTTTGATTGTGTTGACTCAGCAAATACTTTACTGATTGTTGGTAGCAACACATTGTGACGCATGATTTTGCGCAGACTTATACACAGAATCATAAAAAAAATTGCTAAGCAAGAAGCTAGATGATTCATTCTCGAACTGGCAGCGTTCGTGCTCAGCAGGGAAATATTCACTCCATGTCGTTTATGATCATTAGGATACATGCTCATAACCTGAGAAATAGCAATTCTATCATATTCTGTCGTCAAAATCAAGACATTTCTTGTCATCCACCGTGGCTACTAGTCGAAGTCCAAATAATCAATTGAGTAATTCCGAAGATTGCAGTGAAGCAGGTTATTGTCATGTAGCATTGGACAATCAGCATGAATTGCTGCAATATATTTTTTTAATTTCTGAAAATCATGGTCAGAACCGATGGCTAATGTGACGCCTAGTTACTCATTTATTGAAGATTGCGCAATACTCAGAGGAGCACTTCTCTATCGCTATAGAACTGACCTGTGGCCAGTGTGAGAGTTAAAATTGGGCAAGTTATAACTGGTAACTATATTACCTCTATATAAGGGTTGATCGTATTTAAATATATTCGATTAAAAATAGACACCGTGGAATAGTTAAAGAAATCAGTGATCACTCACTAGTAAAAGGCGAGTAGTACTAACTACCATCGACCAACAGCTAGCAAATATTGATACGCACCATTCTCTGGGATTATAATAGTAAATGATTGTCTAATTTTAATTTATTCTTTGACAAGCGAAAAGAAAGAAAAAGTTCTTTCACAACATGTAATTTTTCCAAGAAAACACGAAAATGAGACAATGTTAACTATTTTGGTCAGAAAACTGTGAAGATAAATTATGAAAACATGTTTAAAATAAAAATTTCATCAATAAATACGTTTGGATGAGTAAAGGCACCATAAATACTTGAAAAACGCGTTTAAGTGCATTTTTAACCCTTTATTGTCTGATGAGAAGCATATACGGCAAACTTGGCAATTTGAACTCCATTGAACAAAAGTTGAAACTCGAAAAGTTAAATTTCAAGTTTGACACTGCTGGCATCTGCTATGAAATTCAATTCATTAACACAAAATACTGCATAAAATCTTAGCAAATTCAAACTTTAGCCGTATTAAAAACAATCATTCTTCATCTTGTTCCATGATACCATTCAAAAACATTGAAAAGTTATTAATCATACTAGTGAGACTGTTAATACCGGTTCTATTTCAATCCTATTACTGTTAAAAAACTTTGGGTTTTGAATGTTCGAACTCTCACACTCTTAAGATCTGAAGTAATTGAATGTAAACAACATGATACAATTATTTTCGATTTCAGAAGTAGTAGACCACTTCATGTAAGGGTGAATTGCAGAATTACTGTTTCAAAATTAAATTTGTAAAGAGAACGATGAAATCAGGTATTTTATTGATTATTTTCCTTTTTTGTAACATTTTATTTCTTCATTGAATTCTTTAAAGCTGTCTTTGTTCTTAGAAAAAGGGTCCAAAAGTAAAAATGCTATTCTATGTTAAGAATCGTCAACAAGCAGTAAAACAATAGGTTTCTAGATGCTTCAATTTAAATAAAAGAATTCAATGGAAAACAATACTATTATTGTCAATGAATGTCTAACTAGCAGTCGCAGAAATATAATATATGAGAGAATGTAGGCTCGCTTAATAATTGAAAACCTTTTTTTTTACTGTAAGCAAAAAAAGGGCATGCGTTTTCGAAATTTTATCCGCCTCTCTGGAAAATATTTCTGCAATCCGGTTGTTCCTCACAGCCTTCCTGTCTCCTAATCTTCGAATTCGTGCATGACTGCTATGTCTAACACCATATGTTCTACAAGTATGCCAAAGAAAAACAAGAAAACACTTGAGAAAAAAATGCAGCAGTCAAATATATAACATGTGTAGGAAGCTAGAATGTCTATCATCCTATGACAGCATCTGTTTTTATTCACATAGTCAATTTTAAATAGGTTTTTATTTTCTTTAAAAAGCCAGGTTTTTTTTATTATTGAAATTATCACCACTAACTATTCTATTATAATGCACGCATATATTTTTCTTTTACTTGCTTGCTATGCAGCAGTTCATGGTGGTCCGGTCAATTTGTTTATGGATGTAACGATCGATGATCGGCCTGACTTAGTAATTGTTGAGGGTGACATAGCATTTGATGCTACCTCATTAATACCTCAACTTGTTCCACTTAGAAATGCTTACATCAAAGCATCAAAATGGACTAGTGGTATACTTCCGTACTTAATTGAGTCATCACAATTTTCGGCTGCACAAATTACAACAATTACAAATGCAATGCGTAAAATTGAACAACAAACAAATAATTGTATTCGTTTTGTGCAACGCACAAATCAACCGACTTGGATACGCATCTATGCTGGTACAGGGTAAGTGATCTAAGCGTCTCTTTTTTCATAGAACTCTTATTCAGTTTAACTTTATTATTACAATAAAACAGTTGTTGGTCGTATATGGGACGAACAAAGACAAGTGGTTCGCAGGATCTTTCACTTCAAAATCCAGGTTGTGTTAGTCAAAGCATTATTATACATGAACTATTACATGCCGTTGGTTTTGCTCATGAACAGACTCGATCTGATCGAGATACGTATGTTACTATAAATTATAATAATATTCAAGCTGGCAAAGAAAGTAATTTTCAACGATATCTCACATCAGAGGCGAGCACACTCAATAAAGCATATGATATCAGTAAGGATACTTTTCAAAATCGAACACTATTCATTATTTGACTCATTTAGCTTCTATCATGCATTATAAATGGAATGCTTTTTCAAAAAATGGTCAACCAACAATAACTCCAAAAGTAAATGTTACCCAAACAGTTATGGGCAGTGCAGTGCAAATGACTGATTTAGATATAGAAAAAGTTAAAACATATTATGCGTGTGCTTAATCTTTTTTAACAGAATAAATAAAAAAAACAAGGCAATATTCTATCGAATTCAACAATGTATAATATATTATTAATAATTCTATAAATATTCAAACTATAAATTAGTTTCGATATTCTTTATTTTTCATAGAAAAAAAAAAGAAAATCATATGAATTTTGTTGTTGTTTAATTAACAAACAAATAAACATTCATAATTGGATAAAAACCAACTAAAATATATAAATAAAGCACCAACTGCACACATACGAAACAGTAAAAGCATAATAAATTATACAAATAGAACAATTTATAATAAATACATAAAAAAAGCCGAACTAAAAAAACCAAACATTTGACTATGAGCCATAAAAAATAGATATTGAAATAAACTATCCATTTATCGTTTCAAAACTATATAAATTAATGTCTTAATCGAAAAAATGGATCCGTTGTTCGATTGAATGAAGTTATATCAATTTGACTATCGAACATAAATCGACTACATTGTTCTCGTTGAAAAATTTGATTTCCACCAGTCATATATTGTGCATAACGATGACGAAGTATAGGATTCATTAATAAAAGATGAAGAGTATTAAAAGTCATTTGACGTGATGGATTAAGTTCAGAAATAAGTGTCATATATGGTCCATCAGAATTTTGACGAAATATACATGCAAGATTATTTATTGTAACATTCAACTGAAAAGAATTTAATTTAGAAAATCATATAGAATATAAAATTTCAAATATACCTTTACTATTATTCTTCCATCTTTATTCATACATAACCATCGGCCAGATATATGATTTTGAATTTGAACACGACTATAAGCACCCACTGATCGAAAAACGAATATTGCTAGAAATTTTTTTTTTATTATTTTATTTAAAATATCATTTTAAATATTCAATTAATAAAAGATTTACTTGAAGGATCTTGTCGATTTTGAACAACAGTACGATAAGGTTTTAAATTTGAAAATCGGAGATAAAGTGATCCAGGTAAAATATTACAATGGAAAACCATACGATAATAACGTATGGTTGCTAATTGAGAACCATGTGGTTGTTTATGTAAAAAACTGACCAATGATGGTCGATATTGATGATTTTCAGTGCGTCTATACTGAATATATGAATATGGATATTTTTGACCAGAAAATGTTCGAGATAATGGAAAGGATAATATTGGCTAAAGAAGACAAATAAATTCGTTATTTTTAATTGCTACAACATCTTTCATTCGTTTTTTTTGTCATTCTATTCCTTGACCTTGTATTGATGATATTGTATAACAGAAAAGGCAACAGCAGTATCTATAGTTCAAATTTCTCTTCTTTTTTTTTTCTTTCGCAACTCTTTTCGAACATTCGCAACCATCATTATTAAGATTAAATGACCATCATTTCGTATATGTATGATGTAATTCTTTCTT